GTTGCTTCGAGCACTCTAGGTAAGATACTAAGAAGTGCTTTCATGTCGCCTGCATGATCCTTCATGAGTTCTTTCAGTATCAGGCTGCACCGTGCCTTTACATCCTGACTTAGCACCTTCTTAGCCTCCAATTTCTGTGTACGAGTAGTGCCGGGGAACATATCTGGGTTGAAATCAGCTCTGTAGCATTGCCGAAACTGTCCTTGAGCCAAGTGGGTGGGATCAGCCAGCCTCTGCACCTTCCACATAGGGTCTAACACTTTCAGAGCCTTGTCTATTCCATCTGCAGACTTAGAATCCCCATCGGTAGTAGCATACTTAATTAGCACACCCTGTAGCGCAAGCTGATTTCCAATGTCCTCTCCCATATTGAACTCGGAGAACGGAGCGAAGGCCGACATGTTTGCAGTACAGTCTGGGTGCCCCCCTGGACACTTCACATCCATTCCTTTTCCTTTCCGCCAAGCACCAGTCCAGCACAGCTTATTCTGGAATGACGCGCCGATGATGAACTTCTTATCGGTAACAGTTTCGCAGGCTATGCTGATTGCTTGTGATGCATTCTGCCCTGGCTTCTTCCTGCTTGCTATTGTCGTTGAGTTGTATCGGCCATCCATGGCAATATTCATCTCGCATGGCTCAGTACCCCTCTTCCGATAAACTTCCTTTACCAATTCAACTTTTTCAGCCATATCCTGTGTATTCAGTTCAGTAACAGCAATAGCCACCTTGTTAGAGGTCCTCTGCATACTGCTCCTGCATGGGGGCGGAATGTCCATGTTCGCCATCAGTAACCTGGCTCTTGTGTTTCCAATAGGGGTGTCTTGAAGACCCAAGGCAAGTCCTACTGCTGGGTTTGGTCCAGGTTTGCCTGTCTTGATTTCTTTATACAACTTCATTTCAGGTGCTGTGAAGTCACATACAACACATTTCAGTGTCACTTTCCAGCATGCTCCCCATTTTCTCTCCTTGGCTATCTGCAGCTGAGGGTCGTCGCAGTCAGTGGATGTCGAACGATGCAGTCGCAGAGCTGTGTTCCATGCTTCGGCCACCTTTTCATTGTCGACTAGTCGCATACCCTCCAAGTCATCTTTGCTTGACTCTTGTTTCAGGTCTTGCATGCTGGCCGCAGTAGGCCGCAACAGCCTCACAGAGGTAGAGATGCCCTCACAGTCAGGTGTCGACAGCCCAGTGCCATCCAGCCTAGGTAACCAGTGAGAAGTCTTCAGCACTCATCCTAGTGACAGTCCTGGGTATCTGGGGTGGAGAGTCACTTTCTGTCTCTTCAGACTCAAGGGTGAGACCTTTGTTCCAGGGAGTGTGGCCCTTGCTGAACTGTGACTTGATTCTTTTGCGATCGCCTTTCATCGTGATTGTCTCGGACAGAACTAATGAGCTCTGAGCACAAGATGTACCTATATATATATACCCCATCACTGTGTAATGTCAATGGCAATGACAAGCGTGTAAATGTATTAGAAACTCTCGAGACATACATATGTCTTGTGCCAGCAGTCCAAATTGCAGTTGAGCTGTACACGCAGTTTGACACCTTGGCGTGTATTGGCCGAGTGTCAGCTGAGAGTGGTCACACCTGGTGACTCGCTGCACTTGATTGGCTGTACACAGCTACCTGTCCCACCAATCATTCTAATGAGTAAAGACAGGGCTTTCATGTGAATAAAAATTTAACAGTTTCAATTTTCATTTTTGTTGAAAAATATGAACTTTAATTCAATTTTTATGTTAAAAAATGCATGCATGTACCTAAAAATAGGCAACAAAAATGAAATTGATGTCTGTTGATAGTATATGTAATGACGAGACAGGAACACTTGCTTGTTTTGTCAATTTCCTTTTGGTTATGGAGTTATGGACTAATTAGAATTGCATTTGAAATGAATTCATGCCAAAAATGTACTCTCAAGTGCTATGGATGCAGCATGATTTCAAATGACTATAAGTCAAGCTGTGTATGAGTTAGGGATTCCAAATTTTCTGTGAGCCTTCAACAGTGTATGGGCTTAGTATTGATGAATTATTTGAATTTATTTGAATTGCATAGTTTTTTCTGTCCTGATAGGCCTCAGACCACAGTTATCCCCCCTAAGTTTTACCATGAACCGGAAGGAAAATAGGAGAATATAGTATCCTGTTGAAATGGGCTGTTCAGCCTGTGGCAATTTTTTTGGAGTGACTTGTGATAGCTTAAATGAAAGATAAGACATTGTAGTTTGCTGTCAATTTTTTGTTAGCCCCAATCTGTGAAGGTATTGATTCCAGCTTCCCATGATTTGACGCCAAGTTGAAGGCCGCTGTGTGTGTTTCGGCTCGAAACTTCCGGTGAGCATTGTTGACAGTGGTTACTGCGAAAGCAAGGGTGGTGGATGCTGGACGTAACTTTGCGTTTTAAGTGACAAGTGGCAGGTTGGTCAGCATGCAACAGGAGAACGGCCTACGACTGATAATAATTATGGTGGGCTGTCATGTCACTGTAGATAGCAAAGAAGGAAATTAATTGTGGTCTGAGGCCAGTTGCGACTTCCATTCCAGACTATGCTTTTTAAAGTATTTTGAATCTGTCAAACAGTCCGTAACAGTTGTTTTGTGTTAAACTTTAGAGGTTGAATGATCAGAAAACATATTCCGCCAACAATTTAACATAACATTATGAATATATATTTTATATTTTTTATAACGTGTTTGAATCCTTATCAATCGTGTAGTTTTCAGATTTTCGATCACGAACGTTGATACTACTAAATTTCGTTTATCCGACATACTCGTTAATCCGACACAATCATATGCAACCATCTATGTCGGATTAACGGGACTTGACTGTACTTCAGCTAAAACAATACGTGTGCGCTGGCTCGTGTCGGCCTTTGATGCAGTCGCAAAGAGCAAACACATCATGTTGGGTGGCGTCTGTCTGGACTTGCAGGTGTGATGACATGAGTGAGTAGAACGCTTGCCTTGACCCCAGCAGTGACAATTCACAGGATGTAATGAGTGTTTGAATGACATTGTTTATATACTTGTTACAGGTGCTGCTCAATAAACATTCATGTTGAATACATAGTTGTTTGTTTTCAGTTGTTTGTTGGTATTTCTGCTATCCAAAATGTCTTATTGTTGATATAAATGCGATCTTTAATAATGCGAGCAAAGACCACTCGCATTTTTCTCATTTAATTTCACGTTTTACAGTATTTACTGTTCATATTGCGCAATTGCACAGCCTTTTGTTGAGATTGTTGCCGAGTGACTCACACATGTTATTGAAAGCTTCTGGGCGATGTTCGTAGGACTTTATCTTATCCTGTCGACATTTTTTTATTTTATAGCCAAATAAGCTTTCCATTAAATATCGATCTTTGGCTTGAGCACCCGTTAAACAATGTATTTACACAAAAATAGGCTTAAGATACACAGTAACTGAATTTTGTCAAAGCATATTTTTGCCTGATTAAGAATGTCAAGAAAATAGGTTTTGTACATATAGCCTTAGCATTCGCCAAGATCATACTTTTATCTCAACGCTTTACAGACGCAAACTGACTTCTCACATCACCATGCACACAGCCTCATTTATAATTAAGCCCTCAGTCCTTCCTTCTTTCAGTCGTGCTTCTGAACGCAGTGTTCTAGCTGAAGCCTCTCTCGACAAGAAGTTTCCTTGGTAATTGTTGGTTCTTAATATCTTAATCTTGTCTTTGTATATGTATTGTTCTCGTTTTTGTTTGTTCTGTGTCCTTTCGATACACATTTAGTTACATTCGTTCAATAGCTGCGTTTCAACTCTTTTGTTGTTTGGCTATTTGATGTTTATCGGCACTGACCTTTTGTAAGCCTCTAAAGGTAGTTTATATTGTTACTTCTACACCTACGTTGAGGATGTTTTCTCTGTGCGTTCCTTTCGCACAGGCGACGCAGCAACGTTCTTGTGCCAGAGGTTCCCAACAATGGATGCTGCAGTTTGAAAGCTACAAATCTTCAGGTGCACAAGCAGATGGAGTCACTGGTGTGGGACCCAAAGATGTTCCGGCCCCACCGGTGGGGCAGGATACACTCACCCTTTCAAAAACACCTGGTATCATCACTGATTCATAAATGCATGCACATGATATAGCCTGAATCGTACAATGGACAATGCTTTTTATTTGTGTGTGTTTGTTGTTGAAAGACGAACTTAGAAATACTGAAATATGCCCCTGTTCACCCAGCAGTAGATAGATATCTGGTAGGATGAGATGGTCATGTCACTACCTCAAACGACAGCCTCTGTTGTTTACTCCCCAGGGATGGGAATGATAACTGACTGTACACTAATTCATTCCCGGGGTTTATAATGTCAGCAATTTGATCATGCTAAAGGATGGCTTTGACACGCTACAAATTCGTATATAAGCGCAGGGAAAGTGTTAAGAACTAAACATCAGCTCTTCATGTGCGATGAAATGGTACTGTATTCACAAACAGACAAACTAAGCTGAATACACATAGCACATCTTAACATGTACATGTAATAATTGTCATTCATTTTGATTACCTGGGACTGCATGAATCCCTTGTATCTAGCTGTGTTCATTATACAATGTACGACAATGTGACAAAACCATCGATAAGCCACACTGGGGTTCAATTTCACTCATTTCCTGTTGCCCTTTCTCACCCCTCTTACAATTTCACAAGTCTCCTCCTGCTTGATCTACACGTTATTTTTTCCATTCACGACGGGAGAATAATACATGAAATGGATCTCTATTTGTAGAAACAACTGATGTGTGATCAATGACAAAAAGTGGAACGGACATACAGAAAACATGGAACTCTTGATGCTAATGTCTTCGTTGTTCACGCTAATAGTAACGTAATTAAGGAGGGTAAATCCAAGGAAAAGAAACACCTGTCGGATCAGATTCTTACCCGAGTGTCAGCTCTAAGAAACACTAGTGGTGGCTCGGTTGTCGTACATTAAGAAGATCAGGAAGGTGACAACAGAAGCTTAGAATATTTTGATGAATTCATTAGTGGTTCTTTGAGTGATCTTATTTCCAACGGGACACTGTATGTCAATGTGTTTAAACGTGAATGGTTAAATTTGAAGAGAGAATTTCAAGAATTTTCAGACTTTATTGTAATCGGAATTGAGCAGGACCACTCAAACGTATCCACAGTTACCTTCAATACCAAAATACGATCTGACTTTGAAATCAGGGACCCTTCGATTTTAAACATTGTTTCCCTATTGACCAATAAGCCCAGAAACACACAGAGTGTACCAAATATCAGGGGACTACCAAGAGACATTTCAAAGCTATGTGAATCTCGAAATAGTGAGTTCAAAGCCTTTCATCCAGATGAAAGTAAGGTGGAAGATATAAACAAAGGCAAACCTGACATTGTCGAATATCTATGGTCAGATCTGAAGCTGAGGGACAACATAACGTCCTTCACGAAAATACCAGACGGAGGATCTTTGTATGTGGGGATTTCTGAAGTGAACAAAGATAAAAAGTCAAAGCGTTTTGTTGCTACAGGATTTCAGCTTGAAAACACTCCTGAACCTGAGCCTTGGCGGGTTGTCAAAATCAGTGACCATATGTTCAAACTGAGGTTAAACAGAATTCAATTTGAAAGGAACATATTTGACAAATTGAATGAGTTGACTCTCCTGGGCCTAAATGGTCAATTCAGCAATCCTCCAAATGATATGATAAAAGTCACCTTTCACAGGGTAGAAGGGACTTTACCAGAACTGCACGTCCTAGAAGTATCTATCTGCTACTTAGATGGGATATTGTTTTATGACCATGGTCCCAGATCCCATGTGGTGGACACCAAACAGGAAACCCACCAATGCATTCGCATGACCAATGAGGAATGGTTAAACAGATTGTGCCAGAACTGCATCGGTTGTGGGCGGCGGTGGGATTATTTTAGGAAGGAAAAGTAGACATACCACGACATGCTATAAAGGGAGATCTGTAAGGACATAGTTATCAGAAGAATTTACAGACATCACGATTCAAAAGTTGTTTTTGAAAACAGAGTGACTATCATTAAGGTGGGTCTCTTGTAAACACGAGGCTCACAGTAGTGGGTTGTTGTGAAGTGGAACATACAGTATTTAGCAACAGTGTATCTCATGTGCACAATTTCTTCAGAATCAAGAGGATCTTAAGTTTCAGCAGCTTTACATTGGGGATAATCCTACAAAGTGGCTATCAATAGTTGAACCGTCATCGTGTACTATACATCATGTCATCGACTGAAGGTGATGATTCTGACGGTTCTGGTGCCTACTTCTCTGAGGGAGATATACCCTGCTCACTCACAAAGAGTGATGGCTCAGAGTCAGATACAGAATCTGAAATGATGGATTTGGAAGGTACATATAGATGTGTGTAAAGATGCTACAGGCGTTTTCATGTTCAGGTTAAATTGTGACATATATAGCAAAACTTATGACACAAAGTTCAGATATGCTTCACATCATATCATATTTTTTGAATTTATGTGTGTATGTGTGCATGCGTGTGTGCGTGTGTGCGTGCGTGCGTGCGTGCGCACGGAAACGTGTGTGTAGGTAGGTATACAGGTATATAATTTGAAACAGTAGTGCCTTGTAGTTACTGATTTGTTGTATGTTATGAAGAAGAGGCGGTGGTATTTGTTTGCTGATGTCCCCTTGTAATGCTTTCAGGAACGGACATGCTGCTTACCCCATTCTATCTTCAAGGTGACGAGCATCGCAATATTACTGCTAATGGTTTAAGTCCATCAGCTGGTAAGTAATTCAATATAATATCAATTTAAGGTAATATTCAATAATATAATATTTATTGTAGTGATGGTAAACTATTTGTTTTGGTTTATGTTCAGAGTCCATCATCCTGCCTGGAGAAATGTCGCACTATTTACAAACTCGCCACCCGGACATACACAGCAACCTGATGCAGCTCCATGGAGGAAGAGGGTCCATGGTATACGTCCCTGCCTCCATCACCAACTTCCATCAGCTCAGTATTTCTCACCCCAGGCCAAACAGCGTCTTGTTTGATGCATTTGTATTTCATCCCTCAAAGCCAATCATGCTGCTCACCTTCTCAACACACACCAAACCAAGAGTTTCCCGATACAACGCCAGCGTGACTAGAGCTGCCATGATGTTTGTGACCTCAAACCTTCAAGACACAACCACGTTTGTCCATGGTGTGATCGATACCGCTACATGGGAATGTAAAACTCTGTTTGCGGAAATGATTAGAGAATTTGAAACATCTGCAGAGACCTTTTCTGTTCCTATTTCCCTACAAATGAATGAAAACAAATGCAGAAGTGCTATCAAGGTTTTGCTTAATATAGACTCAAGCCAAGTGAACTCAGAAGGAGAACCAGAAGAACAACACCCATCAGCCGGGATGTCGGTGTGTCTGGCAGAGAACAGCAACACGTTCAGCGGTAAACATAATTCCTCAGATATATCATGATTCCAGTAACATCTTACACTGTTTAAAAAGCCATCATACTTGTGTCATGTGCGTAATTATGTTTGCATTTGATGGAAAAGCAGAAGCAGCCCCGTCCCACCTTTTCTGTAATGCCCTAAACCTTTCCTACCTGAAACATTTACTGCAAACCATTTTTATCAGTTGTCAATCTATATTCATCTTTGATTTATCATGTTGTCTTGGGCCAAACAGTTCTCTTTTGTGGGTTCAACATTTTTGGTTGCTACCAAGTAACTTATATATATGTGGACCAAAATGACAACCAGCAGACATGAGTCATGTCGACAAAAAAGGACAAAAATCATTTCCACGATCAGGACAAATCTCTTCTGAAAGCAAGTGTTCATTGTGACCACCATTTGTATCAACAACTGCCAGACATCTCCTGTAGTGGAGTGACCCAGGCCATGTGAGTCATGCTGGTATGTTGTTGTGGGGAGAGATGGTACACTTATTTTAGAGTTCATACATAAGGTTTTTGGTCGTTGTGGGTGTGTTTGTTATTTTCAACCATGAACCATACTCTTCTATGAGAGCTACCTCACTGATGGTAATATGTTAACTCCTGTAGCCTGACACGTCAATTTTTCAGTAGCCCATCCTTGCCGTAAAAGGCGACAATGCTTGTCGTAAGAGCCAACAAGCGGGATTTGGTGGTTAGACTCGGTGACTTGGTTGATGCATGTCATCGTATCCCAGTTGCGGAGATCGATGCTCATGATATCAATCACTGGATTATCTAGTCCAGACTCGATTATTTACAGACCGCCGTCATATACTTGGAATATTGCTAAGGGCGGCGTTAAACAATAAACGAACAAACGGATAATTGGCTCAGAATGGTTTTGATCTACTGCAACCTGTATGATGATGCGTGTTCCAACCAGAGGCGACCCGTGAAGATTCCGGGGTAGAATAGGTCTTCAGCAACCCATGCTTGCCGTAAAAGGTGACTATGCTTGTCGTAAGAGGCAACTAACGGGATCGGGGGGTCAGACTCGCTGACTTAGTTGATGCATGTCATCGATCTCAATTGCGTGGATCGATGCTCATGATATCAATCACTGGATTGTCTGGTCCAGACTCGATTATTTACAGACCGCCGTCATATAGCTGGAATATTGCTGAGTGCGGCGTTAAACAACAAACCAAAAATCCAACCAGAGGCCCGCTACAATACAGTCATCCGTACAGTGCTCGTATCGCCTGCGCCATCTTACACTGCCATGATCCTGTACGGCTGCTGATGCTGACATGTTGTTGAAGTGTCAATTATATTCTGTTTGACCATGGTGAACTTGGTGTCAGCGATGAAGAGTCCGTTGGTCTTTCTGTAGTTGATGCATGACTGTGTTACTAACGGCAGAATTCAGATATAAATTTTACACCCAAAGCTTCCACGTGGATCTGACGACAGTTGTTCATGTGATACATGTCCAATCTATCATATGAGAGCTCGATCACCACGACACCAAATATGTCAACCAAAATAGTATTTCCATCTATTATGATCTGATGACACTTCCAGTTATATTGATTAGTAGCATTAGATTACATAATAGTGATATTTCCTTTTCTTTTGAGTATATGTTGGTCTCAGCATAGGTGATGTTAAATAACTTTCCTGCTTTTTTTTTCAGGTGTCCTTGGACGTGGAATTTTAACATTTTTTGGAAATGCTGTCAGACGACACATATATAAAAGTTTATTTCCTTACGCGAAAAAATCATAATGTCACTTTTTCAAACAGCATCCGGTTATCAAGTGTCCTGGGGTTTAGTCCAGGAGAGAGAGAACCATCTACTACTCGCCTTTACGCCATTCTTTTAAAGGAACATAAATTTCAGAAGATATTACGTTTCTGGTAGACCGCCTCCGTGGTCTAGTGGTAGAACGTCCGCCCGGAGAGCGAAAGGTCGGGAGTTCGATACCCGACCGCGTCAAAAAGTTAAAAGATGGTACTTTTTGTTACCCTCTCTGGCGCTGGGAATTAAAGGGCCAAAAGAACAACTGGTCGGCTCGGAGTCCGTATACTGTGTCTGCGTGGGGTATTAGCACTATAAAATCGAAATGTGTCCAGACGAGTACAAGCAGCCACACACACGTGCATGCACGTCGCTGTGTACATGCAATAATCTTGGACGCGACGGTGAACACCATTTTCACCTCACTGTGTTGTTTGAGTGAGTTGGGTTAAAGGTCGCTTGACATGATTTCAGTCAATTCACAACATATTCGCCACTTGCGTGTATTGACTTGACAGATAAGGGCCATAATCAATGCGAATTTTCTTTCGACGCCCTAAATCACGAACGTTTTGTTAATTAATAGTGCTACAAACACAAATGTCTCCAACTCCGCACGTAATGATAAGCTGTAGTCAAATACAGGTGTTTGGCAGATTATACAAATGAAAACAATTATGGCTGTATATTGCGTTATCTGTACAAAGATGAAACTTCGGAATTAACAAATATCCATGTGTAACTGCATTTGTGACGGCAGTTTTGGGTGTGACTTGGTGAATTTTCCGTCTGTGACTGTAGCTGTCTGACACCATAGCCTCCGAATGGGAAACAAAGGGAGATAACTCTAATTTATTTTAATTCTTGTCAGGTGTGCTGTTTTTAAGTTTCGTGTTTTGTTGACAATGTATTTAATGATTACACGCAGCTGATTTTTTTTCAATTTCTACATGATCGTAGCAATAGCTTTCATAGATATACGTAAATCTGGTTCACAGGTTTGAAATCTGAACTAGAATTAGAAATCAAGTTGGTGAGGTTTACAAGTTTTTATACTCGTCATTGCAACGACATCTATACATGATATTTAAAGCACGCCTGGCTGTTCCAAGGGCGGATGCTGCATGTTTAAAAGGGAGGGGTATAAAATAACAAAATCCTCACTCATTGCGGGGGTGGGGTGAGGCAGTTGGTCATACTGAGAACGTGTTGTAATTTCTCCTTAACGTAGAACAGATGAATTGAGGATAATGATGACATCAGAGTTGCAAGCGTTCCAAGATTAATTCAGATGCAGTGTGACCTGACAGTTGTTGTTGTTGTTGTTGTTGTTGTTGTTGTTGTTGTAACCGAGCCGGGCTGGGGCGTGGTCTTGACATTCCAGTAACAAGTGAGCAATGGAATCAGGTTGATTGCACGATGGACAAGTCTGAGGCGTGAGATGGCAATTTCAACTTTCTGTCTAGGCGGCTCAAGAGTGAAAGGACTCACAAGCATAGTCTATTTTTCATCTGATATGTGATTTGTAGAGGTCCAGCTGAGTGTCCCTCGATGTGCCCCAAGATGTACCTGAAATTGCCCGTAATACGTTCAGGTCTTTTTGACATCTGTTTTCCACATATTCTATATGTTTGTTTAGAAGTCTGATTGATTGACTGAGGTTGGGGATTTTACGTGCGCTTTCCGACTGCAAGCGTATGTTGCACACGGGCCCGCCCCGCCATTTAATGGATTTGCCAATAAATATGAAGGAAGGGATTTGTGCAACCCAGGAGGCGGTTTAGGGGCTGCTTATATAGGAGTTTTTAAATTTTACAGATTTGGAATGAATGCCAAGGGGGGAGGGGGCGGGAGAGGGGGAGAGAAGTTGAGCAGTCAAACTGCACCTACTTATATAGTGGAGGGGCGCATATTGTTTTGAAGACATTATTTTAATTTCTTGTCACCATTAGTTCAGTTCCTTTGTTATTTCATGTGTCGTTCCTGGGCGATACAATATGGGTGGATTATGGTAATAATATTAAAAAAAACAAAGGCTGGCGTTCATTTGAGCCGGCAGCATTTCAGTCTGACCGCCGACTTGTCAAGGGGAATACCGTTATTAGTCAGTGTGCCAATCTTGAAGTGACACTCAGCCGGGGACTGTAATACAACTAGGCATCTATTGTCTAAGTTATGTCTCGCGGCATGTTTTTACAACCAAAGTAAGTTACTCCCATTTATTGAGACCGCATCCGTGGTCTAGTGGTAGAGCGTTCGCCCGGAGAGGGGAAGGTCCGGGGTTCGATCCCCGGCCGCGTCACACCAAAAGACGTTACAAAATGGTACTTGTTGTTACCCTGCCATGTCTGGTCGGCTCGGAGTCAGTATACTGTGTCTGAGTGGGGTATTCATGTTAAACTGCGGCATGGTATCTCAGTGGGCTAGCACTATAAATCGGCATCAGTCCGGACTAGTACAAGCAGCCACACAAACACACACACGTACATGCACGTCGCTATATAAGTGCAATAATCTTGAACGCGACGTTAAACCCCATTTCCCCTCACCTCACCCATTTATTGAGATGTCCGAGGTTTGCCTGCAAGGATACGTTTGTGTATTTTATAAATTTTGAATATTATTTTTATATTTTGATATGAATTATTAAGCAAGTGTTTGCACTATGACAATACTACAATCAGCCTGGATCCGCTTATGTGCTCTCAAATGAGTATTTACATTGAACATTCTCGTAGCAATTGATGTTGGAAGAGACAGATTAGTTCTCTTACCTTAATTCCCGCAGCTAACACGCCAGTGAATAAAAATACATAGTCTTAGAAGTACTTTGGGTTTGATAGTTGTGTTGAAAACACATCCCCCGATCACTCAGTGAAACCCGATCACCCAGTGGATTATGGTGTTTAGAGTGTTATCACCTGTAAGATTGTTATCACCTGTAAGATTGTTTTCACCTGTAAGATTGTTATCACCTGTAAGGTTGTTATCACCTGTAAGATTGTTATCACCTGTAAGATTGTTATCACCTGTAAGATTGTAATCACCTGTAAGATTGTTATCACCTGTAAGGTTGTTATCACCTGTAAGATTGTTATCACCTGTAAGGCTGTTATCACCTGTAAGGCTGTTATCACCTGTAAGATTGTTATCACCTGTAAGATTGTTATCACCTATAAGATTGTTATCACCTGTAAGGCTGTTATCACCTGTAAGATTGTTATCACCTGTAAGATTGTTATCACCTGTAAGGCTGTTATCACCTGTAAGGTTGTTATCACCTGTAAGATTGTTATCACCTGTAAGATTGTTATCACCTGTAAGGTTGTTATCACCTGTAAGATTGTTATCACCTGTAAGGCTGTTATCACCTGTAAGATTGTTATCACCTGTAAGGTTGTTATCACCTGTAAGATTGTTATCACCTGTAAGGCTGTTATCACCTGTAAGGCTGTTATCACCTGTAAGATTGTTATCACCTGTAAGATTGTTATCACCTGTAAGATTGTTTTCACCTGTAAGGCTGTTATCACCTGTAAGATTGTTATCACCTGTAAGATTGTTATCACCTGTAAGGCTGTTATCACCTGTAAGGTTGTTATCACCTGTAAGATTGTTATCACCTGTAAGGCTGTTATCACCTGTAAGATTGTTATCACCTGTAAGATTGTTATCACCTGTAAGATTGTTATCACCTGTAAGGCTGTTATCACCTGTAAGATTGTTATCACCTGTAAGATTGTTATCACCTGTAAGGCTGTTATCACCTGTAAGATTGTTATCACCTGTAAGGTTGTTATCACCTGTAAGATTCCCATTCCCTGTCCGTGTATACTTCTATATTACAGCTCCACCTCTTATCTTTCACAGGACGGATATACAATGTTATGTTAATAATAAGTTAGTAATTCCAAGCTATTGTTTAAATATTTTTCATACGTATATTAGCCAGCATACATTTCCAGATTGAACAGACCCGGAAGTGTTTAACTTATTCTGGATGTCTACAAGTTCGAGTGGAACTCATTACCCTATGAAAGGTCCATTTGTAAACTTATATTATCTGTTGAATGCATTTTGGCGTGAAATAAAGTGGATCAAGTAACTTTTCAGTTAAATGTTCATGTTTTGGTTTTGAGGACGCACCACTTGGTACACAAAAACCTTGTCGATCTCCAGAATTCAAAATGAATTCAATCACGATTATGTTGTTTTTCAAATGAGCGGGTACCACCCTATCTTGTTTGTGGCACTTCATCAAACATTACAGCTTAGGGGTTCCTCCAGCTTAGGGGTTCCTCTGTTTGGGTAAATACAGAAGGGAAGTATAAATGCCACTACTGAGGGAAGCAAGGAGTTCTGGCAAGAAAGCGCACATATCTGTAGATAGACTCTTTATTGATGATGTTCCTGAGAAACCTGCTACACCACCCCCGTATACCGGACCCCCAGCAGAGCTCATCTGCACAAGCCGAGCCAAGCCGCGCGTAGGAATACATTTGTGGCCAGAAGGCGATCACACCATGTCACCAGCCTGTCACCAACTATGCCCAACCACATCCAGCCAGTGTGACTGCCTCTGACAGCGACGTACAGCCATAACCATTACTGCAGGATATTCCGGTGAGGCAATTTCATGCTGTATGCTGTAGAGTATCAAATATTGTTGGTGACCGTGATAGCCCGCTGTCAAGTGTGGACCACATGGTGTGTGACCCTGTGTCCATAGTGCACAGGGAGGAAACTTTTCATAATGTTTTATGTCATACCCCAATTGGGATCACTAAGACACTGCCTGACTCCACTGTGTCAGCTGATGACTCTGTTTGTATGAAGTGGGTTGGTGATGAAACCCCACACTATCATCATACCGCAAAACATGACGCTGTCGATGCGATCGAGACCAGTGATGTTGGTTGCGCTACTCTCAGTCGCAATGTTGAACTGGGACTGAGAACGACGGAAAATTATGCCATAAATATGAATAGTGTTTGCAATATTGATGACTCTAGTTTTAACACTTCCAACGATGGGTCTCCTAAACTGCCCAACATACACCATTATACTGTAAATATATGTATACCACCACTAAGCATTACTGAGGTTAATATCCAAGCTTCTGACAATCGCCCTACCTCTTTACACTTTTTAAATTTGAATGTGTGTGGAACAAGGAGGCGA